CTGGTGAAAATTTCATGTCATTAGCACCTCTAGTAATATATTTACTGAGAAAAATGGTGACGTGTTCAATACTTATTTTACCCGCTGTAGTCCCTCCGGCGTGTCCTGGGTCTTCCTCTGGGCCGCCCGGAACACCTCACCAGGGAGGCGTCCAGGAGGCATCCTTACCAGATGCCCGAKCCACCTCAACCTCCTCCCAACCATGCCCGTCCAAGTCTCTGTGTTCAAAACGACAGGCCGGGTCCTCCGAAGGACCCAGACTACCCAGTCGAGGTGGGCCAGGTCCTTGGTAGACCAAGAAGACCGGAAAAAAAGAGGCGGTGAATTTGGATGGTCTAGCCTCCCGTCCTTACCCCGGCGTACGTCATGTCACCTAGCAACCATGACGACGCTAAACAGAAGCAAAGATAGATCAAAATTAGAAAAATATTAATATATTAGTGTTATTAATGTAAAAAAAATTTAAACATGCTATAAAACTTAAAAATTTCAAAGAGGAAAAGCAAATGTGTCTGACTACTACAATTTATTTTCTTTATTTTTTCATAGTTTCCAGACAGCTAAAAAATTTTTGGGGAAAATTTTTTGTGGCATGTCTGTCTCATTTTTGTTTATAAAAAGTAAACAGTTGAACTTCCTACGAGAGTGGTGGTTTCATATTTTTTGCCAGGGGTTCTAGAGTTACTGCTCTTTTCCCAAACTCCCTTGATTATGAAAATTCAAAAAGCAGTTGTGGTTGCGTGAGATACAAAGAAAGACGCAGCACTTAAGGCATAACACTCGTGACGTTCTCTGACAGTCTCCAAAACGACACCGGCCCCCCTCACCCTCCCCGAGCTGCTCAGGCCAGTGGCCAGAACCATCGTACCGAATGGCTGTGTCGGGCAAAGGACTCTCCTCCAGCAGGAGGGGACTGGGAGTTTCATTTGTAGTATGAGTCTCCTCTGAAGGAGGCTGAGGGGGCACCGAGTCCTGAGTGTCAGAGCGGCTGGAGTGGATCAGAGCCTTGGACACCTCCAGTCTGAAGGCCATGAAGGTCAGAGGTGCGCATGCCGCTCTGTGATCCTGTCGGTACAGGAGCCAGGAGTTCACCAGAGCCGCATCTGTCAGGTACCATAGCACCGCTTGGGGCCAACAGCACGGTGGAGAAGCCGTCTGGGGGGTGAGGTACAGATTTTGTAGGTCTCCGCTGAAACGAGACGACGTCTGGGCCTTCTCAAAGCTGTCGATAAGGGAGGCCATGTTCCTTTGGCCGTCCCCGGCAGTGGAGAGTATGAAGCCGCCGTGAGACCTGCGCAGCATCAGCTTCCCGTCGGAGCTCACGAACTCATCCCCGATGTGTCCTCGCGCCCCTCCCACTCTGCCCGCCCCGTGAACCCCGGCGGCTAAAAGGCGTTCCAGCATGGCAGGGGTCGAGAGCTCCTGCTTGCAAAGGAACACCGTGCTGCCTTTAGGGACCATTCTTTCCACCGTGTCTTCTTTGTCTGACAGATCCAGTTTGAGATCCACGTGTATGAGTAAACCGTCGTGCCCGGTTAATGTAGTGCAGTGTAGACACCACCTGTTTGCACTCATCAGAGGAAGCGAGCGTTGATCAACGGCATAATCGCCTTGTTGTTTGAATGACTCGCACCCGGCATTGAAACGATGCAACAATGGCAGAACCTTCCACAGAGGATCAGTCTGCATTTGTAAACCGTTCGAGGTGTCGCTTTTGTGCTGCCCRTCTCTGCCCTGAGGAATTYCACTCAGACTCCTTGTGCAGGTTTTACCCTGTTCTTGGCTTTTTACATCACTTTTAGTCAATCCTTTGGAAGGAGACGCCAGCTTCAACACGTGGGACAGCTCAAGGAAACGAGTTTGTGGGATGGCTTCAGCAATCAACGGCACCTTGGTCAGGTCCTCCCAGTACAGCATCGGACTGGGAAACTGAAAAGCAACAGACCCAATGACTTACAGGGTTTTGTTTATGTCTCCATCTAGCAATCAACAAATCCTTTCAGAGATCAAACCAAAAGGAATACAAACCTTCAACGTTCCCATTGCAATGTGGACCCCAACAAAACATGCAACCTCTTTGGCTGTGACAGGATGTGGCATGTTGGWTTGTTCATTTGTGCAGGAGGCAATGTCCACCCATGTATCCCAACTAAAATACCTGGAGAAGTAATTAATGGGCTCTCTTGTCCTGTTTTCAACACTTTGTGCTTGGATATGGATTGTAGATGTTGGCAAACTATGAAGAAAAAAAAAAGCAATTATAACTACATTGAAGCAATTTTCTCCTAATAAAGCTTCATATAAAATGGAGTAATACATGATTACAATGATGTGCAACGTACAGGTATGACAGTATCACTGAAGAAAACACAGGTTTTCTATGTTTCCAGTTTTGTGAGAAAAGTTACAAATAATGAGGTATTACTGTACTTTGTTRCTGTTTGATTCGGCTGTTGTTCCCTCCTCGATTTGTACTGATTGAAGTATGCCAAAATGTATGCTTCTCTGTCAAGCTGGGGCTCAGATAATCCAAAGCCCCTTGTGTTTTCTTCATCGGCACTCTGGAGCAGAAAGTCCTGGAGGTCTGAAGGATGCTGCCACTCAGAGTCAGACAAAGCTGAAAGATTAATTACTATTGTTTAATGAAAGAATTTCAGATTGGAAACCAAATTTGTTGCAAATTGTAAACACAAACAAACCTTGGCTGGATGTGAATTCACCGACCCCTGGTTCTGATAAACCTCTAACAACCGTCTCCTGATAGTCTGCTGAAGATGGTCTACTTTCATCTGGTTCATCAAGATTAAAGTTTAAATTGAGTTTTTCTTTCCTTCTATAATCTTTGGTAAAATAGAAAATCTAAACATAAYGTGATTAAGGAAGATACTTACATGTATCACAGTTTGCAGCCTGAGTTGTATTATCAGACCCYTCTGGGGTTGAGCTCCCCGTGCTGGTCCCCAGCAGGACCTCCCGCTCCTCCTCCTTCACTGGATAAAAGATGCACTGGTTGGAGGAAACGCTACAGTCCCTTGTAGTTTCAGCATTCTCCATTACTGAAAACAAACCAAAACTGTGATTCACCCATTTCTGCTCTATACATTACATTATAAATATATTACTTGTTTATTTTCTACCTTATGGTAAATACGGTCAATGCTTGTTTAGGTAAAGACGGGGTGCACCGATTACAGTTTTCTGTCTGATCACTGATCTTTAAAAGGTCTGACMTGCTGATTTTGACCAATACCATTTTTTAAATAGCTGAACCTGTCAGGTGTTATAAGGTCACAATATATCTTCAATAATACCCTTGAAACAACACAGACTTGTTTTAACTGRACATTAGTGCTCACAGTAGAACAAAGGRGGATAGTGGCTGATTTTCAGACCTATGTGGAGGTAGACGAAAAGCTGATCTACTCCACCAATCTTATCTAAGTATCGGAAGATCTCCCAAAATTCAGGAAAATGGTGCAGATAAATCRGTTGGCCGAGTAGTGCTGTCCCGACTAGTCGACGTCACCGGTTACGTCGGCTGCATAAATACGTCGACACACACAACATACCATCGACACGTCGTTTTACGTGAATACGTCGAAAGAGGAGAAGGCAAAGAAAATGGCGGCAGCCGGTCCGAGCAGTACACGTGAAGAAGACCCCGATGACAGAGTTCAGCCAAGGAAACGTCCAAAGACGTCGAAAGTGTGGAAATATTTTAAGCCGAAGTCTTTCTAAATGCAGAAAATTATGTGACTCTCTCTACACTACCCCAGCTGGTGAACGCCCTCCAGAAGTCCACACAGAACAGATTGTTTGAGTGTGCTCCAGTCAACGCTTTCCAAATAACTGCCGAAGAGCAGATAAACTGGTAAACTGGAGTACTCGGAGAAAACCCACGCAAGCACGAGGAGAATATGAAAACTCTGCACAGAAAGACCCCAGGTCCAAAACGGGGATCGAACCCAGGACCTTCTTGTTGTGAGGCATCAGTGCTAACCACTGAGCCGTCGTGCTGCCCAAAACATTTCAAATAGCACTTACAGTATAATGGTCAGCCACCTCTGAATGCTCAGCTGGCATAAAAGCAAGTTGAAGGAATGGACATAAGTCAAAGTAAATATAGGTTCAACAAGTACAACTCAGAGAGACATGCTTATATGCAGGAAAAGTACAAAAACAGACTCTCAGACCTGATAATTCTTAGCTGGGCTTAAAGCCTCCAGTCATAGGTTCAACACAGCTCCAATATTTACAACAAAGTTATAAAGCTAAAGGTAGCAAGAGCTGTACAATGTGCAACAAGTCATGATGATTTGTTGCACCTGTTGTGAGGAAATTATCATCAGAACTAATAGTGCGTTACATTTGAACTCAAACATTATAATTTCCAAAGTCTAAGTGGAAAAAACCAGAAGTCTGAATATGAAGTCTGACTTCTGAGGTAAATAATTTGCAGCAGAAATGTTAAAACACAGAAGCCTGAGGTAAATACAGTCCGTCTCTAATGAGGTAGTTGAGAGGCTGGCCATTCATTTTGCATTATGAAGGATGAAAATGTGTTTACTGACATAAAAAACAAGAAAAACCTGGACCACCAATAAGGCATTTCAGACAAAGGTTTGTAACACGGTGAAGATAAGTGAAACCACCTGAAACATTATATGAACTCTTAAAAACTCACGTGGGATGTCTGTGTTCTCGTTGACGACTGGCTCCAGATTCCACTGCATTTGTTTGCTGCCTTGCGGCTCCTGAGTAGTGTTCAGCACAGAGCTGATTTCCTCTTTCACCAAAACACTTCTTATGTCTTGATGATGCTCTGTTTGGACACTGGGACACTGTCTGCCCTGGCAGGTTGGTGTAACCAGCAGAGGATCTGACCTGTTCTCTTCCACCTTGATCTCTGGTCCTTTCTGAACCTGTACCTGGAACAAAAAGAAACATTTATATATTACCAATATCAAATTTAGTGTTGAGTGTACTTTTTAAAAATGGTACAAGCAACACTTCACCTGTTTTTGGTTGCTCCTTTCAGTCTCCTTGGCAGCAGTTGCTCTTTGCCTTGATGTGAGGAACTTCTCAAGGACGTTTCCTGGAGAATGGTCACGCTCCCGACCATTTTCTTCTTCCCCCTGCAGTCTCCCTTCASTCGTCACTTCTTCAACTCTTGTGCTTAGAGACTTCAGCTCAAACTCAACTGGTTTTTCAGGGGATTTTTCCAACGTWGCAGGAATGGAAGGTAAACACGCTACAGGGGGATTGGTTTTCACACCTGCAAACTCATTACTGGCCTGCGTCTTTGTGCAAGTCCGATGGTTGGCCATGTCTAAATCTGAGAAAAGAGGATGCTTTTCATAAACTAGCTGACATTCATTCTGTTCATTCTCCAGGTCCATTCGTTTGTGATTATCTCSAACTGGTAGGACATCGCTTTCTTGAGGATTCGTCAGGACATCTCTCTTCTCTGCTTCTTTTCTCTTCTGGACTAATGTTTCTTCATTCTCTTCTTTGACCTCCACTTCATGAGTGGAGCATGACACGGTTTGAGAGGTCAAACTTTTTAATGGTGTCTCTTTACTAACTTGCTCAGAGTGTTGCTCAGAATGGCAGCCTTCGTTGGATTCATTTTGGTCAATGCTGTTAGTATGCAAAACCAGATCATCTCTCTCACTCTGCTCCCCAACAGTTACTAAATCTACCTCTAGAAGTAAATCCTCCTTAATGTCCTCGTCTGTGTTACCCTGGCCTTTAGATTCAAAGTGAGGATTCTTTGTGGCATCTTCTTCTTCTTGCTTGTCTTCAYCTGTTGCCAAATGTTCTCCTGTCTCAGAGCTCTTTGTCAGAGAAAAGAAAGTAGATTTAGGTGTAAAATTTGGTTGCCTACATGTTTTTTCATCAGACAATGACTGCACATCTAGAGAGTGATGGGATTGCTTATCTATCACAGTTTTACTTCCATCCTTCTCTTCACATGTCCTCATTTCAGCATCTTGAGGAGGGATTGGTAAAGATGGAGATGGGATTAAAGCTGGAAAGGAGACACTYAGTTCTCTGTCCTCTAATGCCATTTCATGCTCAGTATCCCAGTCTATAGGAGACTTCATCACCCTAATGACCTTACTGTGTTCTTTTGGAAGTTGGAACAGATCAGAACAGCTGGAGACGCCCTCGAAGACGTTTCCATTGGTGTATGTGAGACTAGGGCTCTCGACGATATGAGCCGTCGTCTTGTGCTTTTGAAGGGACGAGACTTCATTAAATTTCTCTCCACAGTTTTTACATTCTAAGGCATGTTTGGAAGTTATCACTCCTTCAGTTTCCACATTTGAGGACGCTTTACGTTTCCTGGTGGGCTTTGGTTTGATGGGTACTGTCTCAGGTGGTTGATGGGAAACCTTTAATGTTGACAACAGGGAAAGAGCCTTCTGTGTTTTCTTGGTTCGTCCTCCTTTTTTCTTACCATCTGCAGCGCCGTCTGTGGACTTCTTTGTATGAGACGCTGATCGGGAGTCACTAGGTGACGTCTCCGGTGTAGTGCCAGATGCCTTTGAAGGGTCTAACTTGTAGACTTTCAGTTGAGGCTGTTTATGACCTTTCAGTAAAAGCAGAGAGTCTTGGTTTATATGTGAACCAGTTTCTTCTGCTTTTTCTGCCTGCGCTTTTGAGATTTTTTTCTTTCCCTTTCCCGTCTTTGCACTCTTAGGTTGATCTTTTTGCAGTATTTTTGCTTGTTTTTTCTTTTTAAACATAGGTGATGCCACAGCTTTTTGTTCACTCAAGTGGGCTTTGCCTTCCTTGGCTACTTTTTGCTTTTTCACTTTATTCTTACCCGTATCGTCTTTGATTTGTTGCACCTGCGGCGTTTGTGTTGCAGGCGATTTTATATCACCTTCTGACAACACACTCTCCACTGTCTTCTCCTTTTTCCCCTTTCCTCTCTTTTTGGGTGTTTGTACTTTTTTCTCTGAAAGTTTTTTCCCTTTAGCTTTACTTTTGATCAGGTCTTCCTGTACTGGCTGATGCTGCTGAGTTTGTTTCTTCTGTTTCTTGCTTTTCTTGTCTTTGTTTTGTGAGCCAAATTTCACAACGAGATGAGACTTCTTTGTTTTTTGGCGCTTGGCTGGTTTGACATCAAACTGAAAGTCCATCAAGTCATGCATATATCCCTGGAAAAAAAATGTCCTGGCTGGCTTTCTTTTCCGTACTTTGACCAACTCTTGAGCTGACATTACATTTATAGGTAACTCTGAAGTCTGTGTCGTCTCTAACTGTGAGGAAATTTCTTTAGCAAATGAGTCTTTTACTTCAGATGGGGTATTTTTGTCTTCCATCTGCAATTTTTCAGCAAGATCCTGCTTAACCTGATCATGAGTCTTTGTATCCACCTCAGCAACCTGATCTAGACTGACTTTTTTCATTTCAGACTCTTCTTCAGAGGGTGTTTTAGATCTACTTGGAGCTTGTGTGTCCGATGGAAATGCAGAAGAAGGATGAGCTTGTTGCTCTGTGGACATAAATGGTAGAACTGGCAGGCTGTMTTTTTCCTCACTTATCACAGTCTGTTCAGGGGTCTCCTGGTCAGTGTTGAGCATCAACGAAGAGGAAGTGACTTCAATTTGTGGTTCAGTCTGAATTTGGTCCAGCTCCATATCTGGCATCAAAGCAGGGGTGAGTTCTAATATGACTGTTTGCTCGAGGTTTTCTTTGAGATTATCCGCCTCATTCTGACAAACCATAGGATCAAAGTGAGTTGCAATATTCTCAGGTTGCTGGAGGACCTGAACACCCATCAATTCACCCTCAGGTCTTTCCGTTTGTCCGGCCTCAATGAATGTTAGTTCTATATGTCCACCTGCTGCAACATGGGAGCTGAGATCTGTGAAGGAGGGGTTTTCTAGCTGTCCGTCTGGAGTAATGGGTTCCAGTATAATCGTTTGCTCCATTGGGTCAATTGAAGGATCGAGTTCATCCGTCTTAGCCTCTGTCTGTTTCAGTCCGATAAAGTCAATCTGTGGTGGACTAAGATTCAAATTCACCAGCTCTGTTGGTTCTGACACCTGCTGTAATTCCAGTGGGGGGGCATGAGGAGGCACCTGCCCCAATATAACGACTTGGTTCACCTTCTGCACATTTCCCAACGATTCGATAAGCTTACGAATCTGCTCCGTGTCAATATTGGCGTCCACTTTTTGCAGAGGTCCGTGAGGCTCTACTTGCAAAAGCGCTGGTTGAGGAACAGCTATTGGAGTTATGGTGGGCATGTTTTGTTTTGACAGCGGCCCAGCAGGGGGGGCAATATTGGCGGCCTCAAGTTTGTGCTTCGTTTTCATGTGATGTTGCCGCGTTTTTGGGGTCTTGAAAGAGGCCTTGCAGACTGAACAAGGATACTTTGTTGCAGGAGCACCTGAAAAATCATAAAAATGGAAAGTGGGGATGATGTTTTTGTCAGCTGACATTAAATGTATTTTAACACAGAAAATGTTATTCAGAATAAAAGTCTACACTTAAATAATCAGTTTTGTGATGTTTCATTTCTTAATACTAAAACCTATAATCAGCAGGTATTAATGTTGTTCATTTTCTTAGTTTGGCAAATAAGAAAGTCCACAGGTAATTGTCTGTTTATAACAATGCAAAGTCAACTGAGACTCATGGAAATTTGTCTAAAACAAAAAGACAATAAATAGATTTTATATGTGCAATTAAAATATGTTCACCTCAGAAATTTTCCTTACCATCGTTTTTCTTCCGTTTTGGTTTGGCCGGGGTGTCCTCTCCTTGTGCTTCAGCTCCTTCTGGTGAATGTATCGCCATGTGTTTCTGCAGAGCTTTGGGCATGTTGAACCTCTTTCCACACTCCTTGCAGACATACGGTCGGTCTCCTGTGTGAGTGCGCTGGTGATACTTCAGGAGCGTCAGCGTTTTGCAGGCCTTGCCACATTCGGTGCAGGCATATCCGTCCTCGCCACAATGGATCTTTTTATGAACCGTGAGTTCTGACGACTTCTTGAAAGCCAGCCCACAGATGGGACACTTGAAGGGTTTCTTCTCCGTGTGGGCTTTCTGGTGGGCCATGAGCTCCGTGGAGTTGGTGAAGTGGCGGTCGCAGACATAGCAGGCAAAAAGAGCATTCCTCAGGATGCACTGTTCATATTCTGCAGGGTGGCTCAGCTTGAGGTGGCGCTCTTTGCTCTTGTGGTCACTGAAGATGATATGGCACTCAATGCACTGCAGGGAAAGCTCAGACGCTGCAGAAAAACAGAATTACAAATCAGAGAAAGTCAGCAAGTAACGTACAAACCTATTCTCTGTGTACAGACAAATGCTCAATCTAAAATATCCTAGAAGATATCAGTCAATTGTCTGGTTGCTTCTGATCAAATCACTGTGATTTACTAACAGAGGAAAGAACTTTAAGAAGTATACTATGATGTATAGTTAAACCGCACTATTTTCAAATGAACCAATCCGCCTGTCGATCTCCCGCTCCACTCTTCCCTCATTTGTCAACAAGACCCCGAGATACTTAAACTCGTCCACTTGGGGCAGGACCTCCTCCCCGACCCGGAGAAGGGACCCTACACTTTTCTGGCTCAAGAGACCATGGTCTCGGATTTGAAGGCACTGATCCTCACTAGTAGAATGGTAAATGGGCTGTTCTTATATAGCACCTTTCTATCCAAGCAGGATACTCAAAGCGCATTACACATTGCCCTAATTCACACAGCACTTTATTAGATCTCTACAAAGCTAATATGTACAATCATCTAAGGAGACTCCAGGTAGAAAAAAATCCAGGTAGATTTTTTTCTACCTGTATTCTGCATCAGGATGCATCAGGACATCTATGGAGACTAATCAGTGCCAATCACATTCATACACTGATGGGATGGAAACACATCAGAGTCTTTAGGGACACGACAACTGAAACAGCTGGACGGGGGATTGAACCAGCGACCTACTGGTTCCAGGACGGCTCCCCTAACCACTCTGCCACAACCGCCCCGTAAGAAATATGTACCGGTATTTTAATTTTAGCAGCAGTGAGATAAAATATTATTCATTATTCAGTTCAAGAGGAACTTTGCACGTACAAATGTTTATTTGGTAGCAAGTCTGATGGAAAGATAAAAACACTCATCAAATTTTTTTCAGAAGTCATGATTACATGYATTACTGTGGAGCAATGCAGCGAAATTAAAGGTTGCTTTAATATGAATCGGAGTTTGGAAGTGGGTTGAATAAAAAAATAGTTCAGCTACTAAACGTTTAAAAGTTTGTTTAAAATAAAATAAAGGCCTAAGTCAAATCATGGCATTCTGGTTTAATTAACACATTGCCTGCTGGAAGAAGAGCTGTTCAAAACAATAACCCAACAAGAAAATATGTGATTTGAAGACCCTTTTTAAAAAATTCCTTGTAATAAATGTGTCAGATTGTATTATTTGACCAGTATATAAGTCATTCTGACCTCGATAACTACGCAACATAAAATACTCACATGTGAGGGGCATAACTATTGGTTTGGACATGTCCATCTTCAGCGGATCCACCATGGCCTTTTTGGACATAACATATTTCCTGCCGTCGCTCACCGTTTTATCCTGCTTCTTCACTTTCTGTCCATCTCTTCCACGTTTTGATTTGGTGTCACGGACCGGTTCAGTCGGGACCTTTGCAGTTTTGGACCCARCCTGTGACCGGACACTGGGCTCACGTTCTGCTGCTGGAGTGACTGCCATGTTTGCAGGTGTCTCAGCAGCAGCGTGTGCTCCTGTTGTTGTAATTTCAGCACCAGTATTTGACTTGGCCTCTTTCTCTCGTGCATCTGGTTCACTTAGCTCTGGCGTAGCTTCGGTGTCTGGTAGTGTCTCTGTAGTGGACGTGGTCACAGGACAGGATTCGGTGTGTTCCTGGGGTAGACTCTGCATGGCTCTCTTGCTTCACAGCTTCACAAATGAAATAGTCTTTTTCTAGACACACAAACACACAACACTGCATCATCTTCTGCTTCCATACAAACTGTTGTTTATTTTGTATTGTTAGCTAATATTAAAAGCAGGAAATAGAAATGAACCCACAATGGGACAGCTGGGACCCTGACTGGGCTTAAATAATTTGAATTACAATAGCAGGAGGATGATTGASGGCAGCTGCTGAAGGCTATTCTCTTAAAAGATGTGTGAATAGTGTTATAGCGGGGTTTTTATATGTTTATCGTTTTCCTATTCAACATTTCTGTAATAGCATCGGATACACACATATAACAATAGCCCAGTTAGCCTTATTCACACATTGTTTGGGTTAAATCAGAATGCAAATAGCCGCCTTTCTGRTCTGCTACGGCGCTAAAGACATGAAATATCGGTTCAGTTCGTATTTTTTTCCGGTTTCCACGAACACACGAAACGATTTTGACCGAGTGGGAGGGTGTAGATAGATGTGGGTACCTGATTTGACTCGTCCGCCGCCCAAAACATCTCCGCGTCCTTTCCTCACAAAGCCATCACGGAGGAGCTGCAGACTCCGTGACGTCACGGTGGACAAGGGCCGCACAGGGGAATCATGGGATTTGTGGTTTTTTTTCGCCCTAATTACGATGCCCACCACCCATTTCTGCTCATCTTTCCACGTGCACTGGTGGAGGTGCATCATAAGCTATGTTTTATTAGGAATACTCGCAAAACATGGAGAAATATATTTGCTAAGAGCAAAATTAAGACAATTAATTTACAGCATCATTTGTCTTAAGGGAAGAGCCGCTTTCTGCATCTAATTACTTCCCATGATTTTCTCGTGATAATGAGATCTTGAGATAAGTTAATTTCTAGATGGTTTTCCTCATTTTCAGTAACCATGGTGGAGTTAGACCTGGTCTCCTCAGCTGTTCATCGATGATGTTTAATTCTTATTTATTTACCGTATTAACCAGGCAAATCCCACTGAGGTCACAGATCTCATTTGCAAGGGCGGCATGGGCCTGAAGGCAATCTAGTGTACATAATTTGTCATTTTAAGATTATTACAGACTGAAATTGTGATTTGTTTGTCCTGTACAGATAACTTTATCAGCCCTCGTCATTTACAGARACAGCTGGCCCGACTGCAGATCAGCAGGCGTTTACCCAGTGATCCTGCTGATGTAATACACTTTATTGTTGACCAGCTGAGGGGATCGGGCTGTCTGCATGGATACTGAACGATGCACAATAAAACCATAACTTATCTCAAGAAAACACTGCTTAATTGATCTTGAAAAAAAAAGTATGCAGAAAGCGGCCGCTCTCGGCTTCCATACTTATTTACAAGGGTACCAATAAAATGTGTTATTTCTCTCCTGTGTATTTTATATTTTTTATCTAATTAATGATTTTTACATTTTTATATTATTGCTGTTGTACACATTTGAAAATTGCATACCATTGTCATGAGAATTAAACATTTGTTTAATGTYTTTAGTAAATTTAGTAAATGTTGGAGTAACATATCAAAGCAACCAAATACTGCTAGTTAAACKTAAACTACTTTGCTTGAAAGGTACTATTCCTCTGCCTGAATAAAAATGTCCCAGGRTGCTTTGCAAAAATAAGAAGAATGAAAATAATAGTGTACTCTGGCCCTCTATCAAAACCAAATACTTAAGGTCCAATACTTAATGGACTTTCAGCTATCCTGTTCTGGGTTTTATTTTTAGAAGAATGGCCAGTCTTTTCTATCCATTGTTAAACTAAATTTCAAACAATGAACTTTTAAATTTAAACAGCAAAATTTAGTGGAACCAGCTGACACAGTATTACACACTTCATATATTAGAGCAATTAAACAAAGACACTAATATCAAGGAAAATGCATTTATTTTAGTTTAGAAGTTTGTTTCCAACTTTTACCAAAAATTCTTTCATAAAAAAGTAACTTCACATCTGTGACTGTTTTCTCAGTGTCAAAATCCTAAATATTTGCAATCCTAATGTGGTTTATTAACAAACGATGTAACACTTACTGATAGCATAAAAATCTACACAGATTTTAAAAAGGCCTCTCAGGATTGGGGGTCATGCTGTGGTATGGGTACCTCCCCTGTTGCATGTTTTATATAATGCAAGTGAAGCTTTGCCATTTCATCAAAGCCCATATCACATTCAATGCACTCCCACTCCCAGTACTTATGCTCTCTGTGTACTTTCAGCTCATTCTTGTCCAGATTACAYTCTATCCAGGGTTCTGAAGTCTCCGTACCTGGATCCTTGGGAGGTTTGGGAAGCTCGAAGCGATGCATGGGCTCTCCACAGTCAGACTCCTCTGAGTCTTTTGGATCTCCACATTCAGCAGGCTTGCTTGTTTGAAGCTCTCCCATATTTGTWTTAAYCTCKGTTTCTTCTTTCACACCTGTAAGGGGTTCTGTGTTGTTAGGCTTTTGGATGTTCGCATGAATGGTTGAGAATTTGTAAGACTTAAAGCGGCCCTTTAAACGTTTGGTATGTTGGATTTGGTGTGCATTTAATTGTCTACTTCGACCGAAAGACTTTCCGCAGTATCGGCATAGATATTTTTTTGACGGGGAGTCTGGCTGACTTGCTGGCTTGTGGGCCATTTGAGCTCTCCAGTCATTGGTGTTTGGGGTGTTCTGCCTCAGAATGTGATGCTGCAGATGTTTGTCCAGTGACGCTTCATTCAAAAAACCTTGGGCGCAACTTAAACACCAAAAACGCTTCTGCTTGTGTAGCTCGATGTGAGCCGTCCACAACTTTTCATTTTTAAAGAATTTGTTGCACTGATCACACTTGTGCAGAGACGACTGCAAGTATTTGTTTGACCTGTGGACTCTCAAATGACTAATGAGTCGCGTGCGTCTGATAAATGACATCCCACAATTTGGGCACTCGTACTTTATATTGCTGGGATCGCTCCAGTATTTTTGTTGCTGGTCTTGTTCTGTCGAGGGCGGGTCTTTGTGCAACTTCAGGTGTTTTTCGTACGACTTCAGGAACGAGTAAATCTTCCCACAAACCAGGCAGGAGTAAACCTTTCGAAGTGCGTTCTGCTCAGAGGCTGGCGGAACATCTTTTGTCGACTCTGGAGATCGCAGTTGTGCCGAACTGCTCTTGTCACCCGCATCCGCAACTGGGCTCATGTCTTCGTCTCGGTCTTCTCTCATCACCTGACCTGTTGCAAGAGACCTGCAGTCTTCCAGCTGAGTCTTCTCCTCTTCCAGCTGAGTCTTCTCCTCTTCCAGCTGAGTCTCCTCCTTTTCCAGCTGAGTTTTCTCCACTTCCAGCTGAGTTTCCTCCTCCTCTTCCAGCTGAGCCTCCTCCTCTTCCAGGGCATGTTGGTGCAGGTGAGTCAAGTAGGAATCCTTGTGTTTGAACTGCAGTCCACAGTCCTTACATAAAATGATTGACTCTTCAGCTACAAAAAAAGAGAGAATGTATTAAATAAGCATTTTATACAAAACAGTACATTTAAATCTTCATGTATTTAAAGATTTTTTTCTTGGATTTTCTATGCAATTTGTGAACCATGGGAAAAAATAATATATGCAGTAAGTGGCTGCTCTCAGCTTACATATTTATATACAAGAGCACCAATAGAATATTTCTCACATGTATTTTATACTTTTATCTAATTAATGATGTGCAATCCTAATGTAGTTTATTAACAAACAATGTAACATTTACTGAAAGCATTAAAATCTATAGATTTTAAAAAGAGCTCTCAAGATTGGGGGGTGGTCTCACCCCTCAGGGTCATGCTGTGGTATGGGTACCTCCCCTGTTGCATGTTTTATATAATGCAAGTGAAGCTTTGCCATTTCATCAAAGCCCATATCACATTCAAT